TTCAAAGCTCACGGCGCATCATGCTAGGTGACGGAGCGGAACTCATAGCAGAAGACGACGAGCTGGAAACCTTTGAAGACTTTTGGCTATCTTAGAAATACTAGAAATTTCATTTTTGTTATTTTGTAAGACTCATATGAAGTTTAAAACTTTCTTTTTGGGATGTAATGTAATTGAACAATCTTTTGAAGCAAGTATAATTGTGGTTATTATGTATTTATATCCCATGTATGTACCTTATTGTTGCTTATGAGACCTTGTGTCAATGCCTTGTAAGATCTGTCAAAAAGGTAGTGCGGCCTAAGAAAGCTGGACTTAGAAGGGAGGCTATTTTAACTCCTCCGGCGATCTGGGATCTTACTTGGTTGTTGACCATAGGACTCATTAGTGACTTTCCCTTGACTGCAACCCATAGTATAGAATTGGGGCATCACAGTCGCAGGAGGTAATGCCTTTGTAAACAAGTTTGCTAGATTTTCGCTTGGCCATATTTACCGAACATCAATATCTCCACTTTTCTGAAGGTCATGGGTATAAAAGAATTTTGGAGATATACGCTTAGTTCGGTCACCTTTGATATAGCCTCCTTTGATCTGTGTAACACATGTAGCATTATCTTCAAATAATATTATTGGAGTATCCTTGATTGAAGACATACCACATCATTCTCGAATATGTTGAATCATAGATCTCAACCAAATGCACTCTTTACTAGTTTCATGGATTGCAAGAATTTCAGAGTGATTTGAAGAAGTAGCGGTCAAAGTCTGCTTCACAGATCGCCATGAAATAGTTGTACCACCATAAGTAAACACAAACCCTATTTGTGATCGGGCTTTATGAGGATTAGAAAAATGACCAGCATCAGCATACCCAATTAATTGTGGATTTGATCATTTTGAATAAAATAAGTCCAAATAAGTTGTTCTATGAAGATAACACATTACATGTTTAACTCCATTCCAATGTCTGCGTGTTGGTGTGGAACTATATCGTGCCAATAAATTGACAGGAAATGTGATATCTGGTCGCGTGCAATTAGCAAGATACATAAGAGCACCAATTGCACTAAGATATGGTACTTCAGGACCAAAAATTTCTTCACCATCTTCTGGAGAGCGGAAAAGATCTTTTTTTATATCAAGTGATCTAACTACCATTAGAGAAGTCAATGGATGAGAGTTTTCCATATAAAAGTGCTTCATGACTTTTTTCTATATATGTTGATTGGTGAACAAGAATTCCATTTGGCAAATGCTCGATCTGCAGGTCAAGACAAAATTTAGTTTTGCCAATATCTTTCTTCTCAAACTCGTTCTGTAAATATTCTGTAGTGTTTGTGAGCTCTTTTGGAGTTCCAACGAGATTGAGATCATCAACATATACTGCAACAATTGCAAATCCGGATTCTGATTTTTTAATAAAAATGCATGGGAAGATTGGGTCATTATTGTACCCTTCTTTTAGTAAATATTCACTAAGATGATTGTACCACATGCATCCGAATTGCTTTAACCCGTATAATGATTTTTGTAGCTTGATAAAATAGACACTTCTGGGTCTAGAATTAAATATTTTAGGAATTTTATATCCTTCAGGGATTTTCATGTATATTTCAGTATCTAAAGGCCTATACAAGTATGCAGTCACAACATCCATAAGACGCATATCAAGAGTCTCTGTAACTACTAAACTTATTAAAAATCTAAATGTAATAGCATCCATTATGGGTGAGTATGTCGCTTCATAATCAATGCCAGGTCTTTATGAAAAACCTTATGCTACAAGTCGCCTTTTATATCTAATAATTTCATTTTTCTCATTGCGCTTTCGTACAAATACCCACTTATTACCCATAGGCTGTAACCCTTCAGGGGTTTGGACTACTGGTCCAAATGCATTACATTTTTCAAGTGAGTTCAACTCAGCTTGAATTGCTTCTTTCCACTTTGGCTAATTAGTTCTTCGTCAACATTTTTCGACGGATTGTGGTTCATTATCATCATTACTTCTAGTAATGTCAAGAGCAATTTTAAAAGAGAATACATTGTTGACAATGATTTTATTTCTATCCCAAACATCTCCTGTACTTATATAATGTATTGAGATCTCATTATTTTCAGGTACCTTTTCCAGTTTAGGAGATTCCTCTTCAGGAGGTTCCTCTTCCAGAGGTTTATAAGAAGGAGATTTGGGTAGATTTATTATAGCCTGTTTTGTGGGTCTAGCCTTTTCAGGAGCGCTTGGTATGGTCTCTTCTAGAGCACTAATTATTTTCCTTTTTCTAGGAACTTTGTCTTTTGCACCGACAGGTCTACCACGCTTCTGGCGTGCCTTATACTCATTTGTAATTGTACCAGCAGATTGTTCTTTAGGAACAATAATTCTTGCTGGGGTATTTGCACTTGGAATATAAGATTTTGTTACCTTTTTAGTGTTGGTGAAGGTATCTGGTAATTGATTTGCTATACTTTGCAAATGAATAATCTTTTGAACTTCTAGTTCACATTGATTTGTATGAGGATCAAGATAAGATAATGTCGAATTATTCCAAGGGATTTCACACTGAGCTTCAAGTTGCGACTTTTCTCCCCGTAATGATGGGAAGACTAAGGTTCAATATATCTTATAGTAGATGGTGAATCAAAACCAACATAAATTCCAAGCTTACTTTGAGGACCCATTTTATTCCATTGTGGGGGTGAAATAGGGACTTGCGCAACACAACTAAACACTTTAAGGTGACTAATATTTGGTTCTTGACCAAATACATGTTGTAATGGTGAGTATTTATGGTATGCAGTTGGTCTAACCCGAATTAGCGATGTAACATGTAAAATAACATATCTCCATGCAGAAACTGGTAATTTTGTTTGCATGAGTAAAGGTCTAGCAATTAATTTAAGCCTTTTAATAAAAGATTCTGCTAAACCATTTTGAGGATGAACATGAGCAACAGGATGCTCGACATCAATTCCAATAGACATGAAATAATTATCAATTGCTTAAGAGGTAAACTCGGCAACATTATCAAGACGAATTGTCTTAATTGGATAATCTGGAAATTGTTCTCGTAATCTAATTATTTGTGCAAGGAGCTTAGCAAGTGTTACATTACAAGTAGATAATAGACAAACATAAGACCATCTAGTTGGTGTATCTATCAAAACCATAAAATAACAAAATGGTTCAGATGCAGGATGTATAGGTTTACATATATCTCCTTGAATCCTTTACAAAAAGGCTAGAGATTCAATTACAACTTTTGTATGAGATGGTCTAACTATCAATTTCCCTTGTGAACATGCAGAATATGGATAATCACATGGTGAAAGAATCTTTTGGTTCTTTAATGGATGCCCATGTGAACTTTCAATAATTCGACGCATCATTATAGATCCTGGATACCCAAGATGATCATGCCATAACATAAAAATCTTTGGATTAGAGCATTTCTGGTGCATTAAGTTGGAGCACTTCAGGTGTATCACAACATTTGATTCAATTGTGTTTATTGTTGTATAATACCATCCAGATGAGAAGGCAGGAAGTTTTTCTAAAACCAGCTTCTGGTTGAAAACATTAGAAGTAATATAAAGATATTCATTTTTGCCTTTATCTATGGTATTAATATGATAACCACTACGACGTATGTCTTTAAAAATTAACAGATTTCTTCTAGATCTATTAGAGTACAAATCATTATCAATATTTAGCCTTGTTTTGTTTGGCAATACAATAATTGCTCTTTCAAAGCCTTCAATTAAATTTGCAGAGCCTGATATTGTATTAACACTGGCATCTGACATTGTTAAACATATGAAATATTTTTTATCACGTAAAATTGTGTGTTATTGAACTGTTTACTAGACAAATATCTTCACCAATGATTTTGGAATTAGATAATGCATAAGTAAGATCCATGCTCCTTTCAATACATGAAAAGTTATTTATCAAGAAAAGCATAACATAGATTGATAATATTATTACAAACAACATAATGTAAGATAATAATATTATGCTTGTTACAAACATAAAACAACATAACATTATACTTCAAGATTAAAACATGGCCCACTCATTTCTGGTACATTTTCAACAAAGTTATCTGCCTCATTTGAATTATTAAGGAAATCGGCGACATCAAGATCTGCAACATCAATTGGTTCAGTAAAGTTCATTTCAATTTTCTTTCCTTTTCCTTTTGATTCCTGGTAAAGATCCACTAGATGCCTGGACGTACAACAAGTACGCGCTCAATTACCTTCCATACTACATCTTCTACAAATATCCTCATAATTCTTTGGAGGCTTTTGTTGAGAACTTTCTCCATTTTCAGATTTGCACCATTTATAAGGATTATTCCACTTTTGGTGGAATGATGTGGTATTTTTATTTGAAGGTTTCTAAATATTTCCTTCCTGGTTTTGGTAGTTATTTCTACCATGTCCACGTCCGCGACCACGGCAACGATCTTGACCACGATTATAACCATGGCCTCCTCCGTGTCTCTGGAATGAGACTCCATTCGCTTCTAGGAATGGTGTAGAACTAGTGGGTTGAGCATGGTGGTTTTTCATAAGAAGGTCATTATTTTGTTTGGCCACCAGAAGACATGAAATCAGTTGTGAGTACTTATAAAATCCATGCTCTCTATATTGCTGCTGTAGGAGCAAATTATTAGCATGGAAAGTGAAGTATGTTTTTTTCTGACATATCTACTTCAGTGACTTTTTCTCTACATAATTCTAATCACGAAACAATTTTAAACAAAGTCGAGTTGTACTCACTAATTGATTTGTGGTCTTGCAATCTTAATTGCAACCAATCACATGCTCTCTATATTGTTGCTGCAGGAGCAAATTATTAGCATGGGAAGTGGAGTATGTTTTTTTCTAACATGTCTTCTTCTGTGACTTTTTCTCCACATAATTCTAATCGTGAAACAATTTTAAACAAAGCCGAGTTGTACCCACTAACTGATTTGTAGTCTTGCAATCTTAATTGCAACCAATCACACACTCTCTATATTGTTGCTGCAGGAGCAAATTACTAGCATGGGAAGTGGAGTATGTTTTTTCTAACATATCTTCTTCTGTAACTTTTTCTCCACATAATTCTAATCGTGAAACAATTTTAAACAAAGCCAAGTTGTACTCACTAACTGATTTGTAGTCTTGCAATCTTAATTGAAACCAATCATAACGGGCTTTTGGCAATATGATAGTCTTCTGGTGCTCATACATCTCCTTTAAATTGTTCCATAGGACAAGTGGATCTTTGATTGTAAGATATTCAGTTTTTTGTTCTTCTGGGAGATGATGGTGAATGAAAATCATTGCCCTGGCGTGATCTTGCAGGGATGCTTCATTTTCATCTTTGATTGTATCTCCAAGATTCATGGCATCCAAATGGATTTCCACATCAAGAATCTAGGATAAATAGTTCTTTCCAAATATGTCAAGTGCCATGAATTCCAATTTTGAAAGGTTTGACATGTTGACTAAAATCACCTATAAATGTTAGAAATAATTATATTTTGTATATGAATATATTGTCTGACAATATACAATTTATTAATATAATTGATTTGACAAAACACCATTTATGCATTGTAAAAATTACTAAGTTTTAGATCATCAAACAGTACTAACAAATTTCAATTCGTATCATTTGAATACAATTTGTCTAATTTAAAAGTACTTTATTATATCTAATGTTTCTATAGGCTAGAACATTTAAAAAAAAAAAACTTTGACATTACGATTTATGATTGTAACATATTTTTTCATATGAGATGGTATGGCATAGCATGATAAACACAAAACATATATTAAAGCATATAATTAAACATCAATAATAATTTTTTGTACTTTATTAATCCTCAAGATTAATTTTTTACTCTTGATCTTCTGGATCAGTGTTAATTTTCTAGCTTAATATAATCAAATGTTAATCTTCCGAATTAACTTATTGACTAGACATTAATCTTCTAGATAAATTTACTCGTATGTTAGTCTTCTAGATTAACTTATAATCACACATAATCTTCAGGATTAGCGTCATATTATTAATATGATAATCTTCGGGATTAACATACCCAAATATGATCTTCAGGATCAATGGGTATTTTGGCTAGAGCTATCGTGCTGATAACATATTATGAAACTAGACAAAAATATAATTAATTATACACAGAAGATAGAATAAATTAAGTTCTTCAGAAACTTATATATAGTTCTTCAGGAATTATAAAGATTTTCAAGATCTAATTGTATTATTAAAATGGCATTACAAAAACAACTCTTGCCACAAATACTTCTTTCTTCTTTCTTTCCATTCCATGTATTTCTTCTCGACAATAAATGATCACATATATAATACACAAGTTTTTCTATCTTTTCATTACCGATCATGCTACGTAGCTCGAATGCCGCGGCTCGAAACGCGACTCGACACCAAAACGACGTCGTTTTGGTGTCGATTTTGTTTTTTTTGTTTTTTTTTTTTTCCTGGTTTTGCAGAACGAAGAAGAAGAAGAAGAAGAAGGGAGAAGAAGAGAAGGGAGGAGGAGGAGGAGGAGGAGGAGGAGAAGAAGAAGGGAGAAGAAGAGAAGGGAGGAGGAGGAGGAGGAGGAGGAGGAGGAGGAGGGAGGGGAGGGGGCCATAAAAACCGGTTTAAGGAGGAGGGGAGGCTGGGCTGCGACGGAGGCGGGACTGCGACGGAGGAGGAAGCAGCAGCGGCGGCCGGAGCTGCGACGACGGCGGGGCGGGGCTACGACGACGCCGACCTTCTTCCTCTCCCTCCCTTCTCTTTCTCCTCTCCCTCTCGTTCTCTCCCTCTCCCTCTCCCTCTCCCTCTCTTCCTCTCGAGCCATTTTGAGCCTGGTAGCTTCGAGCTACCAGGCATTTTCCTTTCATTACCATATAACTCACCTATTTATAGGTGAGAAAACATCACTATTTTACACTATGCAACCATGTGGTGAAACCACATGGTACACCATGTAAACCATGAGGTTTCTAGAATGCTAATTACAAATCTTCCCCAATCTTCCACATAATTCTACTATGGCCCCAAACTCATAAGAATTCCAATTGCAACTCTTTTGATGGTTATCCAAATATTTCACAACATATTGATGTTTTTTTAATTTTAGTATTATTTTTTAAGAACATAACAGTCAAAATATATATAGGGGTCTTTCTACAAGGAACTTTTACAATATGCATTCTTATTTAGGGTGTATTATTTGCAAGTTATGAAATTGAAAAAAACAAAATAAATTGCATTGAAAGTAATCATTTTTAAAGGAATTTAGGCAATAAAGCCCTTAAAACTTTTTAATTATACTCTAATGAGTTCAACTCAAAATTTTATTGATTTTTCTCCGTATTTGGATCATGAATTTAAGTAAAAATTTAAAAAGAAAAAGAGAAAATATAAGATAGGTATAAATAAAATACAAGCTAAATTTCTTCCAACGCTGTGTTAATGAATAAGAAATATTGAAACGTTACAGGGACAAGTAAAGTGAGAATAGAAGGCCATTTATTTAATAAATTCTAGGCCTATAAAATATTAATCCATAATTTTCATTGATGAATACACGCATGCAATAGTTTGTATAAGAAATAGAGACACAGATGTGTTAACATAGTTTAATAGTGTAGTACCTTGTAAATCAAGATTGCAGAACTAATGCTCTATTTGGTTCATTAGAATAAGATAGAATGAAATGGAATAGTGATTTCTTAGATTTTTTTATTTGTCGTTATTTTTTCGTTCAACCAAATATAAGAATTAATATTTTGATAGAATGATTATTCCATTACACCTCATTTCAGTAAACCAAATACTACCTAATAGAAAGAAGAGGAGTGTCAGAGGCAGAGAAAAGAGATATGACGGCTGCTGCGATTAAAAAAAAAAAAATAGTTTGATTTTTAAATGAGGTGAGTGCCCTTAGTGCAATAATTGGATTAAAGGGTTCAGTTGAAGTCCTTGTAGCCTTACTTGAGGCATCTTAGTAATTTAAATTGTTTATTTTATTGTGTTAATAAAGTAAATTATTAATATAAAAACTTATAATTAATTAGATATTGATAGCTACATATTTGGATCATATTTAATTATACAAAAAATAGACATGTATAATTTCTAAAACAAATATTTTTTTTTTATAAAATAAATATGATATCAAATTAATTTAATTTTTTTTTTTATGATTAGAAGTCAAATGGTTCAAAAACTAATGATGTGAACCCATAACTCTTTAACAGCACCCTCTATAGTTCAATTAATAGCAAGTACGGTCTGAGTTTTTATTTAGGATTAATTTTGTCAAAAGTTCCTCAAGTACTTATTAGAAATTCAAATAGTTGTTTCATAAAAACTAACAGCTGACTTGATTTTTTCCCATAAGAATGTTTCATAATTTTTTGTTGAATTATTTATATCTTTACTTGATATATAATATAGATTAGATAAGCACTAGGTTTCCCTCGAGTCTATGCTGTAGACGGAAAGTTACTATCTGAGGCCCATGAAATTTACCACAAATTCTATTTCGATGATTTAAATGTTGAGTTTTTTTTTTTTTTTCTTTTTTTTTGTATATATCATTCACAAATCGATTTGATAATTGTAACTTATTTAATTTATCAGGTATATGACTAAAAAAATTGATATATTTTTAAAAACTTAGTTGTCATTTATTTTTCTAAGACAAATATAATAAATTAAGGATAAAATTCACTTTAATCTCCAATAATTTGAGCTTGGAACAATTTATCCTTCTATCATTTAAAATCACCAATAAATCTCCTTACCGTTATTAATTCCTTCAAAAATGATAGAAAATGTTTCAAACTTGCCAAAATTAAGAGTTGGCAATGAAATAAGTAGAAGTCAAAATCAAAATTCAATATTAAAAGACAAACATGCCATTCACCTTCATCTTCTTCTTCCATCAATATAAAACTCAAACTCAAACCCTAATCCTAACCTTAACACTAATCCTTCACTAGCCACCTCCCACCACCCTGCCCTCTTGCCGTCACCTTTCTTCTCCTCTCACCACCTCCATTTGTCCCCACCCGGCCGCCTCATCATTCTTTCCAACAACTTGCAGCAACCTTTTTCTCTCTTCTCCCTCCTAGATCTGGATCGCCGCCCTTTCTTCCTTTCAGATTTGGACGCCGACTCATATCCCCTCCTCAAGGACCACCACTGTTGCCACCTTCCCCTACTAATGGTTCTTTAGAACCTATGAAGAACACCCATTTTGCATATAATTGCTCTTGATTTCAAATATATGATTGTTCAGATTCATTAATTGATTCAACTGATTCATCATCCTCCTCAAACAATTTGGTGTTTTATAGTGTGTGTATATATATATACACTAGCAGGTGGCACACACAATGCATATGTAATTTAGATAAGTAAATAGGGGTGAGAATCGGATATACCAATTCGCCCAAACTGACCGACCCGAACTGAACCTATCCGCCTCATTTTGGACGGATGCGTGATGACGAGCAAATAGTTGCAGATTGATTTTTTCCAATCCACCTAGTTTTGGACGGATGACGGATTTGAGGTTCCTTTGGCTGCAACCGAACCGCCAAACCGCGAGTACCCCTACTAATTTGTAGGACTTTGCGTATTCAATTTGTTTAAATATTTTGTTTGTGTTTTCAATTGAAAAAGAGTTTAAATATTTTGTTGAATATATTCTTTTGAAAAAGAGTTTTCAACTTGAATATATTTTTTCAATTAAAAAAAATAAATGTATTATTTATCTATATTTTTTGTTTTTAAATCTAACTCTAAAAATAATAAATAAAAAAGATGATATATGCTGGTTGGTTTTTGTTTTCAAAAATAGATATATATGTAACAATATAGAGGCATACAATCTCTACTGCTGCTTTATTTATGGTTTTGGTGGTTTGAATTATTTTTATATTTTAAGAACCACAGATTGTAATACTTTATATAATACTTTATGTGGATGAGACATACTGTGATTGTAATATGTGGATGAGGCATGTAGTGATTGTAATATTCTAAAATTTCAAACTTTCTTTCTTTGGATGAGATATGTAGTGATTGTAATACTTTTTTAAGTCATTGACTGTAATTTTTTTTTTTTTTTTTTTTTTTGAGGAAGTGCACAAGTTGAATTATGTTGAAAATTTATAAAATTTTAAACTGCCAAACCGATTCGCATCCATCCGCCAATCCGCTCAATCCACATCCGTCGGATTGGCGGACAGATGTAGATTGATTTTTTCCAATCTACCAATCTGGCGAACGGATGGTGGATTAGAGGTTCTGTGGCCACAACCGACCTGCGTCCATCTCTATAAGTAAGCATAAATACAAATAATAAAGA